GGCCTAGATGAATCACAAGCGGGAATTAAGATTGCTGGGGAAAAGATCAACAACCTCAGATATGCAGACGATACCACTCTAACGGCAGAAAGTGAAGAGGACCTAAAGAGCCTCTTGCTCAGGGTCAAAGAGGAGAGCGCAAAAGTGGGCTTGAAGGTCAACATCAAAAAAACTAAGATCATGGCATCCGGCCCCATCACCCCTTGGCAAATAGAAGGGGAAGTCGTGACAGACTTCACGTTCCTGGGATCCCAGATCACCACAGACTGTGACAGCAGCCATGAAATTAAAAGACGCCTGCTCCTTGGGAGGAAAGCGATGGCGAACCTAAACAGCATGATAAAAAGTAGAGACATCACTCTGCCAACAAAAGTCCGCATGGTCAAAGCAATGGTATTCCCAGTAGTCATGTATGACTGCGAGAGTTGGACTATAAGGAAGGCTGAGCGACGAAGAATAGATTCTTTTGAACTATGGAGCTGGAGAAGACTCTTGAGAGCCCCTTGGACTGCAAGAAGATCAAATCAGTCAATCCTAAAAGAAATCAACCCTGACTGTTCCCTGGAAGGCCAGATAATGAAACTGAAGCTCAAATACTTTGGCCACCAAATGAGAAGGGAGCACTCCCTGGAGAAGACCCTGATGCTGGGAAAGATTGAAGGTCAAAGAAGACGGGGACGGCAAAGGATGAGATGGTTAGACATTGTCATAGATGCAACGAACATGAAATTGAGCCAACTTCAGAGGACAGCGGAAGACAGGAGGGCCTGGCGGGATCTGGTCCATGGGGTCACGAAGAGTCGGACTCGACTGTGCGACTGAACAACAACAACAAAAACATTAAACATGTGACTTCCTGTCGACTAACACAAGCAAAGTTATCTCTATAGTTACTGAAGTGTTTTTAACTTGTTAAACCCATCACCAAGTCAGTCACTTGGTTCAGTATCACTGACATCAAAGACAGGATAGGTACAATAAGTTTGTATTTATTATCTGATTTCCAAAATGTCACAACCCTAGTATAGTATCCAAACTCCAAGGTGGACAATAACATTATTCTTTCACAGTGCTTCGGTTGTTTGGAGAGCAGAGTTGCCAACCTCCAGGTGGGAGGATAATCAAAGAGAGAGTGCGGGATAAGTGAGTAGAAAATAGTCAATAGCAGCTGTGATATATTTATGAAGGGAATATCACTTTTTTAGAGATTTTCAAAAAAATAGATCAGTAATGATACTAATACTAATACAAATACATTTCTGTACATTCATACAAGAATAAACATCAAAACATTATTCCACAAGGTTGACAAGTACAGTCTAATAATCAAAAGTTCTTACAAACCGTAAATTTTCTTTGTGTCTTTCTTGTACTAATATTGGATTGTAGACATATAGCATAAAGGTCATGAATTTGCAGACAGCCTTGCCCCAACACCTGTTTCATAAGGCTTCTTCAGAGCCGAATACCGTGTTGAACTCAGTGAATCTAGAACCATTCAAGTCTTTGAGAGAAAGCATCCAGAGTGAAAGCTGGATAAGAGAAGATTTCACTGTGTGTGTGCATTATGCAGAGAGACAGCATGCCAAGATAAATACTGTGGGAAAGGATTAACTGAGTCTACCCAATGAAAATTTACTGTTTGTAAGAACTTTAGATTACTGAACTGTGCTTGTCAACATTGTGGAATGATTTTTTGATGTTTATTCTTGTACGAATATACAGAAATGTATTAGTATTAATCTATATATCTAATAGTGAAGTGGCCCCGTCTGTGCGGATATCTATATCTATATCCGCACTTGGGGGGCACTTGGGGGGCAGGGAGAGGTTTGTGCACATGTGGGGCAGTCCCCACGTGTGCACAAAAATCCTAAATGGTGAAAAAAAATCAGGTTTAAATCCCCCCGAAAATCACAGAGCGTCCCCTGCGCATGCGCAGGGGACGCTCTGCGACCGACGCAGACGCCGACGCCGCTGGGAAGGTAAGCGGCGAGCCGGCAGGGGGGGAGGAGAAAAAGGGGCGGGGGGGGAAGGAGAGCAAACCGCGAGGGCCGAACAGCCCACGATGCGCCGAGGAGGAAAGGGCGGGCGGAGAGCCAGGCGATCCGGGATGGCCGTTGTGTCCCGCCCCCAGAAGCAGCAGCTCTGAGCACCACTCGAAGAGCACCAGTTACTGGTAAGCAACCTGTTTTAAAATCTCGCCCATTTTTTTTTGAAGTTTCCTTCTAGATTATCATGTAATTATAAAGTTAGTTTGTCCATTTCAACTGCATCTAAAAGATGGAAAGTTAGCTATTCCTTTGTAGGTGTCTCTTCTTTCTTCCAATATTTTGCATACAAAATTCTAGTTCTGGTACAAGTGGTACATTTGTGTCAAGTATTTTTTGTATTATCTCATGAATTCATATCTAATATTTCTTTACAATGTCACATGTCCAGCACATATGTAAAAAGAACCAGTTTTTAGCTTACATTTCCAACATACATTTGACATATTTGGATACCATTTGGCTAAATTTTCAGGAGTCATGTGCCATCTATAAAACATTTTATATATATTTTCTTTGTAGGACACAGCTTTAGTAAGCTTTATATTACCTTTCCATACCTTTTCCCATTGTTCTAATTGCATATCATGACCTAAGTTTTGTGCCTATTTAACCATTACTTCTTTTACCACCTCATCTTGCATTTTCATTTCTAAAAGTAAAGTATAGAATAGTTTTATATATTTCCCTTCAGCACACCACACAATTTTATCAAGTTCTACCAGTGCATCACAAAATCCCATAATTTTATTTTTCGCATATCTAGAGTCACCAGTTCAAGTTAATACCTTTTTCCTTTAACTTTTCTTGCTGATATAATTTATTTTCGCTATCCAACAAATCTTGATATCTCCACAACAATTATTTTGTGAATGTCATTGGATTTATAAAAGCTTCTAATGGGGAAACCCATTTTGGTGTCTTGTCAGAATACATTTTTGAACTTGCTCCCATTCCCTTATTAATGCTGCTCTCCACGTATGTTGTTTAAAGTACTTGTGATTAGCGCTTTTTTTGTACCAAACAAATGCATGCCAACCCAGCTGTAGATCATGTCCTTCCAACTTTAAGAACCTCATATCTACCAATGTAATCCATTCCTTTACCCATGTGAGAGCTGCCGCTTTATAACATGTATGTCATTCTGCACTCCTTACAGGAAGGGCAGGGTAAAAATGTACAAGATAGTTAGAATTTGGAGGCAGCAGCGTTGGCTGTACCACATCAGATTGCAGGCGAAAGATCATATTTTCAGTGCCCCACATCCAAAAATTCTCTGAAAATACAAAAAAAAATAAATAAAAAATCAACACATGAGGGAGTGCTAGCTAATCTACCACTTGGCTTGTGAAGCTAATTTTCTACTTCCAGGGAATTATTAAAATATAGGGGAGCATTGAAAATGCAATTCCTCACCTGTAGTCTGACAAGGTATTTATTCATTTAAACTTGCACAGATACAAACTGATATTATAGTTTGGCTGCGGTCACACGGAACAGAAGCCACACAAGTGAGACGAAAAACAGGTGGAGTTTCCGGGCGCGATCTCACTAGCACATCTGGGAAGCGTAGCACTCCCGTGGCATTTGTCCGCCATGCAGGTACAGATGAGTTTGGGGGAATGAGTCAGAGAAATGGATATTGGCAAAGGAGGAGGCTAAAAAAAGGGGGGGCACTGCTATAAGGTTCAGATGTCAAAATGGCTAACGGCTCCTTCAGACATCATCTGTTCTTTGAGTTCCATGCCATTTATTGAACGTGGATTAGGTGCAATTAAGTTCCTGTCTGCTCTGCATGGGGATTTTGCTTATAAGGCGGAGATGGCCATTATTTTGTACAATTTAGAATAACTCTTCTACAGGGCAGTAATGATTTGGCTAAGCAGGTTTTAAAAAAATAATAATAAAAAATAAGAGGTGCCGGAACTCTCAAGAGGGGAATGAAGTTTTCAGTCTGTATACTGGAAACTCATATACTTTTAAACGTTTTTAAAAGAATTTCGTTAAAGAGGTTTCGGAATTCTGTTCCGGTGCGTTCCCCCAGAAAAAAAACCCTGTAGGTAAAATATGTAGGTAGGACTGAAACTAACTTGCAGTTCAGGTACTAAGAACACTTTCCTGGGAGTAAGCCCCATTGAGTTGACTTCAGTAGGATTCTCAACAGATCAGTTTACTGCAATCCTTATCAGAGTTACAGCATTCTAAGTCCATTGAAGTCAACAGGCTTAAAAGAGAGTAACTCTGTTTAGGGCTGCACTATTAATTACCACTCTGTTTAGCATATTGCACAATTCAGGTGGTAGCTTTGTTCTGACGTTTGGTTGGTAATCTGTTGCTTGTTTGGTGTAGTGGTTAAGTGTGCACTGGGAGAACCGGGTTTGATTCCCCACTCCTCCACTTGCAGCTGCTGGATGACCTTGGACAAGCCATAGTTCTGTCAGAGCTGTCCTTGAAACAGCAGTTTCTGTCAGAGCTCTCTCAGCCCCACCTACATCACAGGGTGTCTGTTGTGGGGAGGGGAAGGGAAAGGAGTTTGTAAGCCGCTCTGACACTCCGAGTGAAGGGCAGGGTATAAATCCAGTCTCCTCTTATTGTCACAAAACCCTTGCTCTCAACCCAGTAATTCAGTTGATTCTTGTGGATCTAGCTTAGTTACCCAGGTATTGTTTTTATGATACAGGAGGTTACCTACTGATTTTTTAAATATGAACTTAGCTCTATGTGATATTTAGGAATTATGCTGAAACTTTAAATATCTGAAATCGAGATCTGCTCAGTCTGTTCCATAGGCTATATTTACTGTACTAAATTAATTTAGTGTGCGTTAGATTGTCAGTTTCTGACCCCTGAAGTTTGCCTTTCTTCTGACCCTGTAACAGAACTTATAGCTGTCCTCATCACTTTTACTAATTTGGCATTTTTATTGCACTTTGGCTCCAGTTCAGTAGATGCGGCCAAGTGTCTCATCCCAGGTGGGATTGCCAACCTCCAGGTAGCACCTGGAGATCTCTCACGCTGACTGTTGATCTCCAGATGACCAAGATCAGTTCCCCTGGAGAAAACAGCTGCTTTGGGAGGTGGACTCTGTGGCGTTATATCCTGCCAAAGTCCCTCCTCAAACCCTGGCCTCCATTCCCCAAATCTTCAGATGTTTCCCAGCCCAGAGCTGGCAACCCTGGTCCCAGGCCCTGTTTTGTGCCGAGGAAAGCTTTGAAGGTCGCCTCTCTGCCTCTTCTTCATCGATGATGGGATCTATTCTGCTGTGCTGACCTCCTCCTAAAACTGATTCTAATGAATGATATTTTTTGTTTAGCAATTCCACCTCACAAGATGTTGCTGGCTTTTTTTAAACTAGGCTGTAGTTAGTGGACAGCGCTATGTAGGCGGTTCCCCTCAGTCCCTGCTGGAAAGAGAAAACTGCTTTGTGAGGGTAAGGAACAAAACAAAAGTTTCCACTTGCATGGATGTCTTTCTAGCTGTTAAGACATACCGATTTGAAGTCTGCTTTTTTCAAGAATGAGTGTTGAAATACCTTTGTGTCTGAAGCCTTTTGGTCTAAAGCCTTAGTGGTTAAGAGCGTGGACTCTGATCTGGGAGAACCGGGTCTGATTCCCCACTCTTCCACATGCAGTTGCTGGTGTGACCTTGGGTCAGTTACAGGTTCTTTCAGAGCTGCTCTCTCAAGGGCAGTTCTCAAAAGAGCTCTCTCAGCCCCACCTACCTCACAGGGTGTCTGTTGTGGGGAGAGGAAGGGAAAGGGATTGAAAGCCGCTCTGAGACTCCTTCAGGTAGTGAAGGGTGGGGTATAAATCCAATCTCCTCTTCCTCCTCCTCCTCCTGCTGCTGCCGGACAGGTTTGTCTGGAGTTTTTGCTTTACTGGGGCAGTGTGGGAGGGAAGGTGACATCGTGGCCCAATCTTGTCAGATCTCGGAAGTTAAGTAGGGTTGGTAATTGGAAGGGAGACCGCCAAGGATGACTGCAATGGCAAACCACCTCTGATTTTCACTTGCCTTGGAAGCCCCTTGCTGGGGGTCACACCATAAGTCAGCTGCGACTTCATTGCAGTTTACACACACACACACACACACACACAGGCGCAATGGATTGCGGACCTGTGACCCACAGATCATGGCCACATCCCAGTGAAGCAAGAAGCTTCTTCACCGGGGTGTGTGTACCTCACATTAATGAAATGCGCCAACCTTGGCTGAGCAGGGTGATAGGGTACAGCCCATCCATTAGAAATACGGTATATAGATTCACTAGCAACGGAATCCCGTGATAATGAAGACATTATCTAATTTGGGGGAAAGAATTAAGATTTTTTTTTTAAATAACCACGTGAGTTTAAGTTGTGTGCGACAATCTTATGTTTAAAAAGTACCCGTAAATAAATAGATACACTATGCTGGCTCCCACGATACCTTTCTGTCTCCCTGAGGGTCAATCTGTTCCTATCTAGATAGCTCTATATTTGTTGGCTTCCCCTTGGGCTTGCTTTCCTTCTGGTTTTCTGTCCCTGCCCCTTCACTGTTCCCGTGTGCCTTGCTGTGTTGCTCCAACTCAGTCTTTGGGCACAGTCCACAAGCAGTGCCGTGTTTGCTCCCCCTCCTCCCCCTACAATAGGCCTGTTTGCATCTTGGGGCCATCTCATGTCTTGTCCACTCTACAGCAGGTTCTGGTGGTCTGGATTCTGCTATGGGACAAACAAGGCCGTTGCCATTATTAGCTGCAAGCAATTGCAGTTGCAGCAGCGAGTCCCAGCAGCCTTGGTAGACGTTGCCCCGCTCCTGGGGCCGCATTTGCCTTGGCCACTAAGTGTGGCTGGACTGGACGTGGCTGGCTGTCCTGGTAGTAATCGCACGTGGAGTTTGTGGGTCTTGCCCTAGGATTATAGCTCACTGTGCTGTATTCAGATTGCATTCTTCCCTAGGATAGGCGATCGGTGTCTATGGTGCAGGTAACCCACAATTAGGAAAGATACCTTTACACATTTATCTGCTATTTTGACATATGTATTGCTTTACAACTGTTGATCTTATAACCTTAAGCTTGCTATTTAGTTTGTCTTTGCACGTCCTCATCATGTTACATGTCAGTTTGCTGTTCAGCCCCTGTCTATAAGTTTGAACCTTACCTACCATCCCAATGTTTTTGAAAAAGTGTGCCTGCACACGGAAGCCCGTACCTTGAATAAAACTTTGTTGGTCTTGAAGGTGCCACGGGCTCTACATTTGTTCTAGTGCAGCCAATGAACTGTGTTGCCCCTTCAATGGGCTTTGCGTGCCTTAATTTGATCTTTTGTATGTTCTTGGGCAAAAAAGGTACTTTAATATCATTGTATTCTTGTGTAGCCCTAACCTGGATGGCCCAGGCTAGCCCAGTCTTGTCAGATTTTGGAACCTAAGCACGGTCAGCTCTGGTTAGTGTTTGGGTGGGAGACCACCAAGGAAGTCCAGGGTTGCTGCACAGAGGCAGGCGAAAGGCAAACCCCCTCTGCTCTGCTTGCCTCTTCCCTTGACAACCTTCAAGGGTTGCCATAAGCCGGCTGTGGCTTGGTAGCATTGCTGATCAGAAGTCACTTAGCTTATAGGTAGGCTTCCTTTTTCAAGTCTTCAACGTTCAAGGTGCGGGATCGGTTTTGAAGTCTGTGGTTTGCTTTGACTGCTTAATAAGTCGCCGTGCCGCGTTTAATAACTGTCTCTCTGTCAATCAGGAAGTAGAGAGGTATTTGAAGCACAATGATTTCTTAGCTCAAAGGAGGAAGGAAATGCAGTACAAGAAATGGTTTGAGAATGTTTCGAGCCCGCTCCTGCAGAAAATTCAGGACAAAGTGGACAGCCAGTCAAGTGAAGAAATAGAGGAAAGGAGACGGAAACAACTCTCCCTTTACTTAGACTACTGTAATAAGCAGGTATTGGGAAAGAAACACGACTGCTGTGTGGAGAACGGCCTTTGGAGGCTTGCTGGCAAAACTGTTGTGTGTATTCTGATGTTTCAATAGCGAGAGACTTGCATAACCGGGCCTTCTGCTGTTGCAGGTTTCCATTCAGATGGATAAATGTACCTCTGTGCCTAGGTTGTTCATTGTGCCAGATGAGAACATTATTTAAATTTTCATTTACTGTAGTGAGGAAAAACGTTTTCTAGAACCCTTGGTGCAATATTTATGATTTAAAATGAAGCTTAGGCGTTCAGCAGATCAATAGAGGCCCAACCTGTCTCTCAGAGCCGGTTTGGTCCGCAGCTCATAAACAGAGCAAGGCTTCCTTCAGTGCATGCAGAAGATAAATCTGGGGTTGGATGTCATCGTTTATATATTTTAATAGAATACTTCAGCATTATCTGGGTTTGAATAGGCAACTGGAGGACTGTATCTCTGCTTTTTAAAAATAAGTAAAAATGACTTTCCCCCCTTCTGTTTTAACTTTTCCCAAAGACACGCTAATTGCAAGATCCTGGCAGCCAGATTCCGTGGCAGCCGTGTCCTCGTGGCTTGCTGTGGCCTGTGCAGACGGTGGCAGCTTTCAGGTTTTGCTTCTTCCCTGCTGCTGGCACTTTCTAGTACCACTAATTGCCTTATTCCAAAGTGGGGGAGAAACCTCTTCACAATTACTGTGATAAGGTGGATGTGTGTGATGGAGGGCAAAGAGCAGACCGCAATATGTAGCATTCTGTTTCTTCTTCATTCATACATGCCATGTCTCTACCTTAAACAAAAAGCATTGCCTTACCTGTGATGTGTATTTGGTCATCTGTTAGCAGCACTGCCGAATGGATGCTTGTTTCACCTGGTTGGCTGCACACCTGTCACATTGTCGGAGTTCTTCTGTGCCAAAGGACTTTATACGTATAACTGTGAAAACATTGCTCGCAAGATGGCTGTGAAGGCAGTATGCACTGTGTAAATAATCCGATGGCAAGCTTGCACCCGTGTGAAAAAAATCACGCCAGGAACCTGAAATGCACATGCAGAGCAAACAAGGGGCTAGACCTAAGATCTAATATGCACTGCTTACCTTTCAGTGAAGTGCATGGGACTGGGTAGGTGATAAAGAATGGAAGAAGATGTCTAGCCATGGAGCCTTGGAATGCAGAGAAGTAGATAAAGTGGTGTACTGGAAACTGGAAGGCTTGGGTTCAAACCTGGCCCGTAGCTATGGTGAGGCTATTTGGGGGCCCGCCCCCTTAAACGGTCAGCCCCACAAGATTTTTGCCTGAAAATGCTTTTTTTGCCTGAAAATGCTTTTTTAAGTATTCTAATACTTTTTTGCCAAGGCATGTGCCACGAACAGAAGCTGGGAGGAATGAGTCAACTCATTCTAAAACTTTTTTGCCAAGGCATGCACCACGAACAGAAGCTGGGAGGAATGAGTCAGATGTCCCTTTAAGGGCAAACCAGGGCTTGCCCCCCGTCCCCCGCTTCAGTCGCACATCTAGCTGTGCATGCTTTAAACGTAACATGAGAATTACGCGCTGCACGCGTGGTTTTTTTTTGGGGGGGGGGTGTTTACGCAGCCCAAACAGAAAATTTTTTGCCCCACAAGCCACAAAATCCCGACTACGGGCCTGGTTCAAACTCTCCTCATGCCTGACTGTGTAGCCTCAAGCAACAAGTTGCTCATCCACAGCACTGTAAATCAAGTGAGAATGATAGTGACTTACCTCACAGGGCTGTTGTGCGGGTGACTAGAAAATGATTGTGAACTACATTGTAAATTAAGTGTTGTAACTGATACGAGTAAGTTAGGTAACATTTACCTTGTGTAGGAAAATTATAAATCAGGGATTCCAGCCTTTATTAGCTGAGTTAACTGGGGCTTGGGTTGTTGCTGTGGGGCCTGGAGAAGCAAAGATGTATTACAGGGGTCCCCAACCTTTATTAGCTTGTGGGCACCTTTGAAACCCTGACGCAGGGTAGTGGCCGCAAGAACAAAATGGCTGTCGCAGAGGGTGGCGCCAACCACAAAGTGTTAGGGAAAAACAAAGTTGTGAATAAGTCTCCTAGTAATTTGTCAACATTCAAGGCAGAAGCTCTGCTTAAGAGGATTTTTTAATCTGCACAGCCAATCAAAAGACTGTGGGTTACAAGCCCCACCTGGAACTGCCCATTTCCTAAAAACATCTGGTGGGCACCAGGAAAGGTGTTGGAGGGCCCATAGGCACCACGTTGGGGACCCTTGTTATGAATGATATGCTCTTACGAGCAGTGGACATTGCTTATGTGGGAAGTAGTTTTGTTTCTCCATCGATCGTTATAAACCTGATGTAAACTAGTTTACTAGTGTAATGCTAGGGAATTGTGCTGCTGAAAGAGACTATGAGACATGTTGCCATTATAGATGAATTGTTACTGGATCTATTCTTCATCCTACCCAACTTGGGGAGAAATGCATCCCTGTGGCTTACAGTAGTATATTATATTCTGTTTCATTCTTGCCTTGACCTAGACAGCCCAGGCTAGCCCGGTCTTGTCAGGTCTCAGAAGCTAAGCAGGGTCGGCCCTGGTTAGTATTTGGATGGGAGACCACCAAGGAAGTCCAGCATTACTACATAGAGCCAGACAATGGCAAACCACGACTGAACATCTCTTGCCTTGAAAACCTGACAGGGTTGCTGTTGGGTTTTGATAGTGAGATATTGAAAAAAAATGGTATTTAGCAGAGATAAGATAGCTTAGCAGAGCTAGAGTAAAATAATTCAGACTCAGAGTCCATGTGTGATTAAAATAGAAAGTTTTAACTAAATTCTAGCATGTGGAAGGGTAACTGGGATGAAAATAACAACGGAGCTAAACGGCTACATCCTTACACTACAAAGACAAAACAAGAAGAGGACAGCAAACAAAGACGGGAAGAGGAGCCATAAAAGGCTAAAACACTTTGACACTTTTGTCCCAATCAAACTCCTAGATCAGGGAGAATTTTCCCGGGCATCCTACAGCTAAAGAACATTGGTTACATGAAAAACATGTGACTTCCTGTGAGCAACACAAACAAACATTTAACCCCAGATACACTGAGTGTTTTCAACTTGCAATACCCAACAGTTGCCATATAGTCTTATTGACTGAAGTGGGGTGAAGTGTGGTGGGGTGGGGGAGAGAGTCTTCGAATGACCCTGCTTCCAGTTGGAAAATATGTTTACTTGCAGTGCTAGAACCTTAAACTATATAGAGTCCTGACTGCATGTTTATGGGGGTAGGGAAGCAAAACTGAAACGGGTCACATGTGAAAATAAGACACAATTGGTAATCTTCTCATGGCCAGAGCCACTGCTCAAACCCTTTCCTCATGTCACCGCACACTGTGATCGCTGTACATTGTATTAATTCACACAGCAGTAGTATATCCTCCTTGCCCTGACCTGGGTGGCCCAGGCTAGCCCAGTCTTGTCAGATCTCGGAAGCTAAGCAGGGTCACATTGAGAGGAGGCGAGAGTCATTGGAAAAGACAATAACGCTAGGAAAAGTTGAAGGCAGCACAAGACGGATTGGCTCTATAATGGAAGCCACAAAGGCCCTCAGTCCACAAGACCCGAGCCAGGCCGTCAACGATAGGACATTTTGGAGGACATTAATTCACAGGGTCGCCATGTCAGAAGCAACTGGGCAGCACTTAACATACACACATACAAGCAGGGTCAGCCCTAGTTACTACTTGGGTGGGAGACCACTGAGGAAGTCCAGGATTGCTACACAGAGGTAGACAATGGCAGACCACCACTGAACGTCTCTTGCTTTGGAAATCCTCTCTGGTTGCAATACGTTGGTTGCGACTTGATGGCAAAAAACCCAACAGCCTTAACCTCCACTGACTTAGAAATAGTTCATTTGGTGTTTGTCTTTTAACAATACATTGGGGAAAGCATAATTGCTCTACAGTATGTTAAGAGTTTCGAAATTGACCTCATTGGATGCAGTGCGTGAAATTGGTGTCTGCTAAGGATTCTTTGGATTCATGTCCATATATGAGTTCTAGAGAGAAGAGGCATCCACCTCCCGCACAGAGATTTAATTTCTAAAGACCCTGGGCAGGGAGCTGAACCCTGAAGAATTACCATTACATCCATTCACACAAGCAGTGTTTTAATAAGGCACCCTGGACAGGCAAGAGTAAGGACAGTGATTTATCCAGAACAGGCACCAGTCAATAGGGTGAGCTGGAGAATCCCCATGAATCTGCCTACAGATGGATCAGTGGGCTCTTTACTATGAACAGGCGTGTCAAGTTAAGGCTGCGGCCCATATATATTGTTGGGGTTTTTTTACCACCTTTTGTAATAAGGGGAGCGACGTTTGTATTCAATCAGTAACTTGCTGTCTCTAACTGTCATTCTTTGGGTTGCATTCTCTACTTTTCTTTCATATGTTTGTTTTCCCACCTTCCCTGTATTTTTCTTCCACTAGGCCTCCTGTGCTCCTGGGTCCCCAGTCTCTGTTTGTGTGCTTCTCCCTCCATTTCTCCCACTTTTTGAGTCCTCTTATCCTTCTGAACATTCATACTTCCCCTCTTTCCTCCCTCCGTTTCCGTTCTCTCTTCTTTCCGTCTCCCCTTCTGCATCTCCGCCAATGATAATTCTCCCTTCCATCTTGCTTCCTCCCTCTGTCCCACCTTACTTCTTTCATTTTCTTCCTCCACTTCCCCCTTATCTCCACTCTTCCTCTCTCTTCTTTCACTCACCCTTCTTTCAGCTGTCTCCTTCAGAGCAGACTATTTTGCCAGTGTTTCCCCCAGCTCCTCTTCCGTCTCCCTCTCTTCCTGCTTCCCAATCCTCTGTTCCAAATTCTGAACAACTTTCACAGGAACCTCCAGCTCCCCAAACGTCTGTTTCTCGCGACTTCAGCGCTTACCATTCCCATAACCCTTTCTTCCTCCCTATACCTCCGCCTATCCAAACCCACAGGAGATACCAAGCTCGGCAGAAGAATAGTGACAGCGTTAAATACCCTTGAAGACAGAAGATGCTTGGCTTGCCTTCATCCATAGATAAGGGACAGTTGTGCTACACACTAGACCAGATTCAGGTGCAGTGCTTCTCAAGCATTCAGTGGATGGTGTTGAGGACTTGAGGAAAGATCTGCTGGGTGCAGTGCTATCTGATTTACAGCTGTCTTGGATTGGAAGAGATAAGTAAGGAGACATTGCGGTTATGGACTTTGTATTCCAGTTGCCTAGCACAGGTGTCCCCAACCTTTTTGAGCTTGTGGACACCTTTGGGATTCTGACACTGTGTAGTGGGTGCAGCCCCAAAATGGCCACCACAGAAGGCGGAGCCAGACACAAAATGGCTGCCACAGCTTACCTTCAGTCACACAGTGAAGATCCTTGTGCTGGGGTAGCAGTTGCTACCAAAGCAATATCTTTAAAAAATCTGCACTGACAATGAAATTTCCCAAGGCCAATCAGAAGTCTTGATGGGCAAAAGCCCAGACTGGCTCCGCCCACTTTCTAAGAGCATTTGGCAGGAGCCAGGAAAGGTGTTGATTGGCACAATGGCGCCCACAGGCACCACCTGGGAGATCTCTAGTGTAGCGTAATTCTCTTTTAAGACAGTAAAATTGTATAATGTACACAAGATTGTAAGCTCCACGGAGCAGGAATGTATTTGTATATTTGCTTGTACAATGATCTGCCTCCCTTGTAACATGTATATAGAAACGAAAGCCTAACTTGCAGATTTTCATTCTGTATACCGAGTGGACCCACCTGTTTTGGGGATGCATTTCCTGTACAAATATTACGGGCTTTAAGCAGTGTTCCCTCTAAGCTGAGTTAGTGTGAGCTAGCTCACAGTTTTTTAAGCCTCCAGCTCACACACTTTTGTCTTAGCTCAGGAAGGGATGGCTCCAGAGGAAACTAATTTACGCAGCAGCCAAATCATTAGCTCACAACTTTAAAACCAGTAGCTCACAAAGTGGAATTCTGGCTCACAAGACACGCAGCTTAGAGGGTTTCGAGGTATTTTCTGGCAAAACAGTCATGGACTAAAGAAGACTGAAGATTTAGTGAGGATATTAAGGATTTGTTACACAGCTCTAGCCCCTCCATCAAACTGAGATTCAGAATGTTCCTCGGCAGATAAACGGGCCTAAATCTACTTGTGTCTTAGTGGCCACAAAAACTAAGATCCCTTCCAACCAAACTTGTGTCACTCAAAATTTGGGAGCCCATTGCACTAAAAGTTGCAGCCTCGATAATGCTGAAGCGTTAATAAACCTAGTTTTGTGACTTGATTATGAAATCGGTTTGTCCAGTAGCTGAAATGTAAGACTAGTTGTTGGTCTAAGAGGCCAATTAACTTTTCTCCTGAATTGCCTACCTGTAATGTGGGTATAATCCCCCACTCCAGAATGCTGTCGTGAAGCTGATGTACAAATGCAATGTACACAAAGTAAATAGTAGTGAAACAAAAGGCACTGAGGGGGGCAGGAGACTTGTGAATTGTCTGGCATATTCCCTCTGGGATACCTTAAGATGTACAGTTATCAACTGCTCCTTAAGCATGTGGCTGTGTTTTCTTGTCCTTCCTTCCACAGCATGGCGCCTATTTAGAGAGCCACAGTCCTCTTTACGACCCTTTCTACTTGAAGAATACAGACGTCTGGAAGGTACAGTGTCGAGTGTGGTTCCTACTTACGTAGCCTGGCTGTGAGCAGAAGCGTTGATCGTGATTATATTAGTGTTCCAGAGACAACAGCCTGTGTAGGGATGGCTTTGAGTTCAGGAATTTTTCCCAGCTGAGAGAGAAAATACGGAGTGGCTCGTTTGGTGCTTTAGGCGGTTGCCCAGCACATAGCCCATTTTGTTAGCCTGAATGACTTTTTAGGATTTCTTCCTCATGGCCTCTGCTAAGCATTAAGGGTTCCCAGGTTGGGCGCTTCCTTCACCCATCAGGATCCTCACATTTTTCCTTTCCCATATATTTATACAGACTGACATTTCTTTTTGGGGGGTGACTATTTATTTATTTTAATCCATTCGTACCCTGCCTGTCTCCACAATGGGGACCCAAAGTGGCTTACATCGTTCCCCTAGTCTCCGTTTTATCCTCACGACATCCTTGTGAGGTAGGTTAGGCTGCGAGAGTGTGACTGGCCCAAGGTCGTCCAGCGAGCTCCCATGGCACGAGTGGGGATTTGAACCCGGGTCTCCCAGATGCTCGCCCGACACCCTTCACCACTGTACCACACTGGCTGTCAACAATTTTAAACCAAACGTCTCCGGCTAAACCAGCGGTTCTCAACCTGTGGGTCGCGACCCCTTTGGGGGTCGAACGACCCTTTCACAGGGGTCGCCGAAGACCATCGGAAAACACAAATTTTCGATGGTCTTATGACAGCAACGAAAATAATTTTATGGTTGGGGGGTCACCACAACATGAGGAACTGTATTAAAGGGTCGCGGCATTAGGAAGGTTGAGAACCACTGGGCTAAACAGACAGCACTTTGAGAACAATGGAGGGTAACAAGATGATATCCCTTTATATTCTAGTGCCCGGAAAACTCACATGGATTTTTTTGTGTATTTTGTGTGTGTATGTGTGTGTGTGTGCCTAGAAATCATGGTTGACTCCTGGAGACCCCTAATGGGGCTTGGACGTTTCAGAGCGGTGGCCTGCTATTGCCTGCCGCTGCGCCCTGGCCCTGGTATTCCTTGGAGGTCTCCCATCCAAGTACTTACCAGGGTCGGCTCTGCTTGTCCGAGTTCTGATAAGATTGGTGTTGCCTGGGCTACCCAGGTCAGGGCAAAACTCACCGTGATCTTGTGCAAGTGGAAATGTACACGGGGATACAATAAGATGGACAATGCGAGTCGCTTACCGCAGTCTTACGTCCGTTGCTTTAAAAGAGCTCCAGTGCAAGTGGAAAACTCACATAGGATCAAACCAAATATAGCGAAATAAAAGGCTCCCTCACTTGATGAAGGGATGGGAAACAGTTCTTAAAGTGCAGAATTATGACCTTAACAACTGTGTCTTGACAGGTTTCAATGCCACCTTTATGTGATCCCTTGTTAAAGGAGGTGCATGACAGATACCTTGAGGAAGGGATTATCCAGCAGTGTGACACAGGTATTACTTGTCCCGCTTACTGTTCATTTCTGAGGAGCATACTCTGTCCCAGGTGTAATGCCCGATAGTTTTCAGGGCCCTGCCATAAAGGGTCTTCTGTAAGAGGCCTTGCATTGTATGCAAGTACATATTTTAGGCTCAAGCCAGTTGTAATGGATGGGGTGGAGGCAATGAAACATGCAGATCTGTTCACTTGGGGGTCATTCCAAAAGATCATGACATACCAGTGGTACAGCAGAGGGGTGGTAAATGTTGAGGGGTGAATTTGACTCCTTGCTTCTGCAAGTACAGGCGCTGTAGCTTATGGAAATGTTCTTGGTGCTTTTTAAATTTGGTACAGGAAGAATGTACTCTTCCAAAGAGATGAGTGAACTCCGTAAAGCAGATCTGCCCCTTCTCCCTCTGAGCCGGCAAATTATAAATCCGATAGATTGGCTGAAAATCCCACCTGGCTACATTGAAAGCGAGATCCGTCAAAAAAGCAGGTAGAGTCTGATACGCCTATTTAAAAAGTTTTATGCCTCTCATTCATGGGGTTCTGCACATATTTGCATTCTTAACATGGGACATGAGCTAGTTGACTCAACCAGGGATTTTCTCGTAAAAGAGCATGTTGTCCCAGAAGAGTCTGTTCTGTCGGGGACTGTGGGCTTATCTGGCCCTCTGAAATGTCTATCCACAAATGCTGTTGTTACGTCAAAGCAACAGATGTATGAAAACACACTAATGCATCTGAAGCTGGCATTAAGATACGGCTAAATACTTTGGGTTACATTGTATTGCTTCACTCAGCCCAGCCTCTTCTGATGGAAGAAGCTAGGGCAGCGGTAGGATACACGCCTGCTTGTTTGTCTATCATCAGTATATAATCCATTTGTTGTTCAGTAGATGTGGATATTAATATGAGAAAATCCCTCTCTTTCTACCCCAGAGGAAAGATATTAATAGGGTAGGAGGCACTTGAAAAAAAAATAGTGGGCAAATTTGCTGGAACCAGCTTGTTGTTTGAGATTTTAGCTGGTTGCACAGTTTGTAGCTTATTTGGCTGTATTAAAACATGTTGTGGACTTTTCCAAGATCCCTTTCATACTGTGACCTTACCCTGATTTGTATCAGTCTCTCCCCTAAACCGAGGTGGGAATGTTTCTATCACATTTCTTTCAGACGGCAATCCAGTTCATTTATGAAATGCGCAAAAAAGTTTTATGTACTTCACATAGCGCCGTGTTCTTCTGCAGCATCTGCTTTTCTCCCTCCTTTCTATACTTCATTGATATACCGTTATTTTAAGCACGATTATGGCACGCTGAATGATTCCTTAGAAGGACTGCAACAAGCAAGGGTTCCTATTCATTACCATTTGAAAGGGAAGCAAGGTGGCTAACTAAACAAACATCTCAAACACCCAGTGAATCATTAACAGGCAATTAGGTGCTCATTTTAGCCAACAACTTTGCCTGATTCACAGAGGGGAAGTCTTCAGTTTGTGCACTGACTGAATTACAAAAACACTGAGGCAAAAAAGACAGCTACTTGAGGTTTAACTAGTGATTAAGGGGCAACGGCAGTCTGTGTTTGCTGATTTGGGAACTCAAATCCTTTCAATATGTTGTTGAAGGTTTTCACGGCCGGATTTCATTAGTTGCTGTAGATTTTATGGGATGTGTGGCCGTGGTCTTGGCATTGTAGAAACTGACATTTTGCCAGTAACTGTGACTGGCATCCTCAGAGGTATAAACACAGAAAGATGGAATACTCTCTGTGTCCAGGTGAGAAGAAAATGGTAGGCAGTAAATTTATATCTACTCCAGAAGGTGGGTAGGGCTGAGTCATTGTCTTGTAGGAGTTCCCCAGGCTACGGACATGCTAATGGAGGAGCTTTCCTGAGGAGGTTCTTTTGTTTCCTGAGGAGGTTTCCTGCTTCCTGAGGAGGTTGTACAGGAAACCTCCTCAGGAAACAAAAGAACCTCCTCAGGAAAGCTCCTCCATTAGCATGTCCATAGCCAGGGGAACTCCTACAAGACAATGACTCAGCCCTACCCACCTTCTGGAGTAGATATAAATTTACTGCCTACCATTTTCTTCTCACCTTGACACAGAGAGTATTCCATCTTTCTGTGTTTATACCTCTGAGGATGCCAGTCACAGTTACTGGCAAAACGTCAGTTTCTACAATGCCAAGACCACGGCGCCACATCCCGGAAAATCTACAGCAACTAATCAAATCCTTTCCCTTCTTCTGATGGATGAAGTTGTGATATATCGATAATCTTTAAAAGTTTTTTTTTTTAAAGAACAAAGGCAGACAAACCGGGTGAAGAAAAAAAGGCGGGAAAAGGAGAGGCAGTACATTTCCAAGAGCAGCAGGCATTTTGAATTACAGTCTGCTGCACTTCAAAAGTGCAAATTTTACAAAAAGCTTGAAAGGAAACATGTTTGTTTTTTTTTAATGGTCAACCATACATAAAAGATGGGACGACATCGTTTGCCTTTTTATGCATATGAAATCATTAAAACAAATTTCTGCCCTCAGAAGCCAAAGCAGGTTAAAGAGCCAGTATGAAAGGGACCTTGAACAATACATGTATTTTCTACTTTCTGGTTCTTTTATTATGTTTCCTGTTATATACTCCTTCCTCACTGACTCCCTTCTTTACAACTCGTCACAGAATTTATTATTTTGTGTCCAGTGGAAGGAGGACAATCAGTCTGAAGTGGAAAGTCCCCTCCAACCTTTGACTCAAGTATGTTAGGATTATATTGGGGAGTGGTCATGCATTTCTCCTCAGATGAGATTTCAAGGAAAAGAAAAGAAAGGACCAGAAGAACAAAAGAAAAAGTACATGTGGAATTGTGTAAGAATAGTAGGGTTTCCCCCGTTCAATTACAGCAGAAATTTATCAAAGATAATTGGAAAATATTTACTCTTAAAAGGTAGAACAATTAGCATTCTGTAAGATGTAGAAAAGACCGAGATCATGTTAGTACAGTACAGATTCAAAGGACAATAGGGACAGAATATTCTGGAGGATCCGAGAACAAGAATTGACATTCATTTTTCTGTGTCAAATTGCTGAGTGGATGGAGAATCAGGAGGAAGTCCTGCATATTTCCTCATGAAGGGGTTCCCATCAGCAAGTCGCTGAAGTCATGACCTCCTGAGCAAAGCAGTCATTCCTTGGTGTCCGAGGAGACTGCTTTGACCTTCAGCCAGTCTGATAGAGAGCTTCTGGAAACCCTAGGTCTCCCTGAAAAGAAAATTCTGATGAATCTGACCCTGTAGACCCCTGCCAATGTATAATGTATTCCTCCCCTAGGCTGGACAGAGTTCCAGCCAAAAGGAAGGGGAAATTAACAGCTTGGCTGTGACAATAGAGGGGTTTTTGTGAATAAAGATTGAGTTTGGGGATGCTACTGTGAAACACCAAAGAGTACTAATTGATAGGTCCCACATAACCAGTAGGAACTGGGGAAAATAACTCAGTGGCTTGGAAGGGACTTCGATAAGGCCATGAGGACTTCCAGTTTCCAGGTAGGTGTTGGGATGGGGGCTAATGAAGGAAAGGGACTCAGCAATAGGTTAACAGAAGTGACTTTCGATGTAAATAGCCCTGGGGATGCCAGAAGGTAAGCATGGTAAACTATTTCTCATGGGCTTGACATGAAAGTGTTCTAGGCTTTCAGAACTGCTTATCTGCACAGCATTCTTACTTACCTCCTTGCACGAATGACTTGGTGAACATCAGGTGATAGCATTTTGATCCCTGTGAGGGCATTCGCTTGAGGTTAAAATAGAGGGGCTCTTCTCCATGTCTTAAATCTTTGGATGGGTAGATGAAAACTAAGGGGCTCCTAGTAAGGTCCCAGCATTAGAACTTTGAAGTCGTTCTTTAGAAAATTGAACAAGTTCCTAAAAACAGATGTTTGTGGACCAATGCAGGGCCCTGAGGAAGAGCTCTGCTTGCTGTTTCAAGTCTTCAGATGGCTTTTGTCAAGGGAGGAACATGTACAAAGAGACTCTGAGTAGTAGAGGTTCGGATCTCTGAATGTGGATGTGGAGTTGGCAAATCTTTATGCCTGAAACTCTTATCCCGTGCTGTTCAGCTGAGGATGTGTGACCTCAATGGCTGATTTCGCACTAGAGCTGCCTCGATGTTGCCCTGCCGTGTGCCCCGATACTATTGGTCAATTTCACACCTGAAGCCACGGGGCTGCATTTGACCCACGGCTTTGCCCGATTTCCTCCGCAGTTTCGTGATCCTCAAAAAACAGGATCACGAAACTGCGGGGGAAATCGGGCGAAGCCACGAGTCAAAATGCAGCCCCGTGGCTTCGGGTGTGAAATTGACCAATAGTATCGGGGCAAATGGTGGCGCAACATCGAGGCAGCTCTAGTGCAAAATCAGCCTTTGACTTCAGTTGTCAGTGAACGGATCCTGATTTTCTGTCCTCTTGAGAAGAGTCTTGCTGTGACGACTCTGGATAAGGAATTCATTGTTATGTGAGGTTGCTGGTGAAAGCGCCTGTTCATCCTCAGTCTTGTATTGAAAGGGGTGTTATATTACTAGGAGCATCAGAACTGGGAACATTAGGTGTGTTCTATTCCACCAGAGCTGAGCTACTGGTGGAAAGAGGAACTTGGTGGTGTGTCCCGGGACGGTTTCAAAACCTGAATGGAAAATCTGTGATGCTTCCTGGTTTGAAGCGTGGCGAGGCCTCTGAGACAGACTGAGGCAGGGAAGTCTCTTCTGAGAGGAGAATGAAGATGAACCACCAGAGGGTTTTCTTTTAGGAATGCTGCACTTTCTGCCATACTCGTGGACTTGTGTGGTGTATTAAGATGTCAAAGAAACTTGAACTGCAGCTTCTCAGTTGTATCTCTGTGTCTCACAAAGGACAGGATTTGGACTGAAGCAACCACACAAGTGGTCTTAAGAAGATCTATGGGTTGTAAGGGTGTATGCTTCTGCTCCTTACAACCAAATTATCTGAGGGTTCTTATCTTTTGATTTAGCCCAGTGATTGGTCTTTTCCCCGCTATACTAGTTTTTATAGATAAGGAGTACTTTGGGTGAGGAGCATTTAAACATTGCCTCCTCTGCCGGCAGTCTGACATGTATAGCCCAGCAGCAACCAGTGTCATGGGGGAGTACTTTAATCTATCTTTAGAATACAGCAAAATGCCTCCCAGGCTACTTGGCTCTGGCAGAATAGCAATTTGTCATGCTATTCTTGAATCTAGAATAAGAAACGTTGCTTATTTCTCATGGCAAATTCTCAGGTTGCAAGAGATTGGTCTTCCCTTAGCAGCAGGCCTGTAGCCAGGATTTTGTGGCTTGTAGGGCAAATTTTTTTTCTGGTGGAGCTGCCATTATTTTCCATTATGAAGGGGGTGCCGTGGGCCCCTCTTCCTTTCCTCCTGCAAGATTTAAAGGGCCGTCCAGCTGATCGACGGGCCATGTGCTCCCCGCCAATCAGCTGAAGG